GAAACCCAATCTCTACTAAAAACACACACACACACACACACACACACACACACACACAAATCAGCCAGACATGGTGGCATGCACCTGTAACCCCAGCTACTTGGGAGGCTGAGGCACAAGAATCGCTTGAATCCAGGAGGTGGAGGTTGCAGTGAGCCGAGATCATGCCACTTCACTCCAGCCCGGCGACAGAGCAAGACTCCATCTCAAAAAAAAAAAAAAAAAAAAAGAAGTCCTAGGAATCACAACCACAACTCAATAACTCATTCCAAATCACTTCTGTTGGTGCTCTCCCTCTCATGACCTCACAGACAGGTAGGAGACTGTTTAATCTGTCTGTATATTTATGCCTCTTTCAGGTCAATGATGGGAGATTCTCTCTGGGTACCTGGTGGTCTGTTGTATACTCACTAACCAAGGGATCAAAATCCCACTCAGACACACTGTTTCACAACGTAGACACTCCATTTCAGTTTGAGCTACTATCTGGTACATTTTATCGTATTTTATAGATTTTATAGATCTTCTGTGACAAGATTGCCCTTCCTAATGATACGACACTACAACTCAAGAATGCTCAATCAGCAAGACCCCATTGATTGATTTCAATTCCTCCATGAACCCGATACCAAGAATGGTTACCAATTTTGAACCTTAATGGACATTTTTCACAAATAACATAACATGTATTTTATAGTCTTAACATTTTGATAGCTTGAATAGATAAAATAAGTCTCTATTTTTTTATTTTTTAACTGTTCCTATGAACTAGGTACTGTTAAATATTTCACATGACTCAGTCTTATTTAACCATCTCATAAATCCTATTATTTCCATTTGTCATATGAAGAAAACAAAGCTTATGGAAGTTTAATAACTTGCCCAAGGCCCCACAGCTGGTAAATGACACAGTTGAGAGTTGAACACAGATCTTTTTGAGGTCTTAGCTACTGTCCTAAATTCCTCCATTCTCTATAATTTTATTATAGTTGTTCTTAAATTTGATTGTATATCAAATTTTAAAATACAGATGCCAATCCCCACAACCATCAGACTTATGAATGAGAACCTCGTGGGTAAGTCTCAATCATACAGAATTTTAAAGGGCTTCTCAGATCACAAAGTATCTGCAAAATCTGTAATCTAAAAAGGACAAACATTCAAAATATAAAATGAATACTTACAAATCAAATAGAAAATAATAAATAGCCTGGGTCAGACACATTGGCTCATGCCTGTGAGCTGTAAGTGCTGTAATCCCAGCACTTTGGTGGGCGGATCACTTTAGGTCAGGGGTTCAAGACCAGCCTGGCCAACATGCTGAAACCCCATCTCTACTAAAAATACAAAAATTAGCTGGGCATGGTGGCGTGCGCCTGTAATTCCAGCTACCTGGGAGGCTGAAACATGAGAACTGCTTGAACTAGGGAGGAGGTTGCAGTGAGCCGAGATTGTGCCACTGCTCTCCAGCCTGGGCAACAGAGCAAGACTCCATCTCAAAGAAAAAAAAAAGGCCAGGCATCGTCTTAAAATACATAAATAAATAAAAATAATAAACGACCCAATAGAAAAATAGGTAAAAGAAATAAACAGTCTGTTTCCAAAAAGGGAAACTCAAATAGCCAATAAACATGTAAAAAACATTTAAATTGATAGCCAACATCACTGTTATATAAGAAAATAGAAAATGTCTTTTTTTTTTTTTTTTTTTTTTAACTTATCACAGTGGCAAACCCTTTAAAAATGCTTTGGCTGATAAGGGGAAATGGGTACTCACTACTGCTGGTGGGAATGTAAACTGATAAAACCTTGGTGGAGAGCAATGTGAGTACTAATAAAATTTAAATATACACACCATTCAGCCCAGAGATTCAATTTTTAGAAATTTACCCTAAAAATACATTCACATATTCTTTGCAATAGGCTCTAAAAAATGAGAAATTACCTAAATATTCATCAGTGGTACTTCACAGAGCAATTAAAAAGGAGACAGCTCTAACTGTACAACACAAAATGCTCTAAGATATATGATCCAAGGGAAAACCGCAGGATACAAAACTGTGTGTAAAACACAGTACCATAGGAGTAATATGCTTACATATGCTCAATAACTCTGGAAGTTTACACAAGATACCAGTCACAGCGATTGCCCCTGGGGAAGGGAACTGCACAGATGGGGAGCAGAGGGTTTCTTTTTTGCTCATGTATCTTTTTTCTCTGAAAAACATTGAGGTAAACCTCTATGTGCTAACACAGAATGATCCCCAAGACATAGAATTGGGCAGGGGAAAGAGTATAATGTAAATTGTACAATGTGCTATATATAGATATATATATCTATGTACATACGTCTCTACACACACACATACTATATATACTAGACATGTATGTAAATGCATTGAGTAAGAACTAGAGGAATAAAAACCAAACTGATTACATGGGTTGTTACCTCAAGGGAAAAGACTAGAATGGCAGAGTGGGTGGATTCTCCAGGAGTTTTTCACATTATCTTTGTTCTTTGACTATTTTTATCACAGGAATAAAATCATATATTACTCGTATAATTAATTATTTTTTTTTCTTTAGAGACAGGGTCTCACTCTGTCATCCAGGATGGAGTGCAGTGGTGTGATCATAGCTCACTGTAACCTCAAACTCCTAGGCTCAAGTGATCCTCCCACCTTGGCCTCCCAAGTAGCTGGGACTACAGCTATGTGCCACTATACCGGGCTACCTTTTTACTTTTTATAGAGAAAAGGTGTCGCTATGTTGCCCAGGCTGTTCTCCAACTCTTGGCCTAAAGTGATCCTCCCACCTCTGCCTCTCAAAGTGCTGTGATTACAGGCATGAGCCACTATGCACAGCCTATGCTTGTATAATTAATTTTTGATAATTTTGATGTATACCAGAATTAAGAACCACTGTTCTATCAGACTTAATATTCTAAGCACCAAAGCTGTTTCACATACTTTTTATAATCTCGCAGGTCCTAGTGCAGTGCCTTCTATTAATTGGAGTTTCTGCTTTTAATGGATAAATAGGTGAAAGAAATGCCTCCACTTATACCACCTCTACTGCCATCAGCAGGCCTCATACCAGTACTTCTTCACCACCTGACGGGTTCTAAACAACTCTTGGACTTGATGTGCCATGTCCTTGTCCCAAGCCAACACCATTACGCCTGTGGTTTCCTTGTCCAGCCGGTGGCACAGATGCAAGGGCTCTGCCTTGTGGCCATGAAGCATCTTTGCCAGGATAGGTAGTACATCACTGATGCAGAGCTGGACCCCAGGGCCACCTAAGAAGGAAAAAGCCAAAGATTTGAGTGGCCAGGAAAAGATCTCACCAAAGAACTCTTCTTGGGAGAAAAGCCCTTAATGGATAAACTGTCAATATTTTCTAGAGCATTACTACTGAAGTGTGGTCCAGAGACTAGCAACAATGGCATGTCTAGGGAGCTTATTAGAAATGAATCTCAGGCTCCCAACCTAGACTACTCAGTCAGAATCTGCATTTTACAAGCTGTCCAAATGGTTCAGAAGCATAATAAAGTTTGAGAAGCACCATTCTAGAGCACGTGGCTTTCCTCTCAGACATACTTTGCAAAACCATGAGGCCTTCGAGAAGCATTAAATAAGAGTGATTGGGAGGATAGGCTTCGGGGTTAGACATTCCTGGGGTTCTAGTCTACTCTTCTTACTATCCATTTTTCTGACCTTGGACACATTACTTCTCTTTCCAACTTTGCTTTCTCATTATAAAATGTAAATATCTGGAAAACAACTTCATTGGAGAATGGGAAGGCAAAAAACTGTTGTGAAAATAAAGAGAGAAAAAAATTATACAAACACTTGGCAATGTCTGATTTAGTTCCTTGTCTTTATGAACAACTATCTCCATGTCTCCCAGAAAAGCATTACCTTCTTCTAGCTAAAACGGGCCTTTTCCCTCTGCAAAATTCTTTCGCAAATGCATTTTTTAAATCAATCTTTCCTGATTCACCTCAGCTGTCCCTGACAACTACATGCAACATTTGTTGAAAGACATTTGAGCGTCCACTAAATTCCAGTCACTCTGGGGTTGTATGTTACATATACTCCCACATACATACACACACACACACACACCCTTTTTTCTTATGTATCATTTTCTCATTCCCAGTTTTGATGGAAGATAACCTTTAGTCTAGAACCACACAGCCTTTGTATATCTCTACAACGATCCCTGTGGTCTGCACACAGCGTATTCCACGAATTGCTGCTTACTGTCAGATGTTTAGAAGGGGAGGACTGTCTTATTTGTTTATTTCTGTGTCCTCGGTGGTTCCTTATATTGGACGGTAGTCTACAAAGGTTTAATTAATTTGAACGCAAGGCTTTAGAGTGCACCACAAGTAACGTCTCAGTTTTCCTCGCTTGTAGCAGAAAGCAGCCGCAGGTCCCTCTCCCATTTCCGCGTGGTCCTTACCATGCACAGGGAGACCGTAGGGCTTATTGATGACCACAAGGTTATTGTCCTGGTGGAGAATTCCTCGGGTCAGTGCCTTAGCAAGCACGTTGGGGTGGACTCGCTGCAGCTGCCGTGTGAACCGCACTATTTCTTGCACTCTCCGCTGAACAGGGTTTGTGGACACCTAGGGAGAAAGAAGGAGCTGTGGGGAATGCCTGGTGCGGAAGCGGTGGAGAAGACCTTACACAAAGCTCTGGGTGAGAATCTGAGTGGGGAATGACTATCTCTGCATCAGACCCGCGCTTTCCTCGAGTAATCTGAGAGCAGGGGTACCAGGGGTACCAGTTTGTCTAACCTGCGTACCCACGCAGTGGGTAGGACCGAGCCTGATAGTAGCCAAAGACCCAGCTCACGGGAAAACACCGTACCCTTACTGACCCCTCCCCTCCACCTTCTCCCCATTCTCCCACCTAGCGTCCGGGCTATTGACTCATACGCTTTCAGTCAGAGGACCCTCCTACCTACTCCGGGTCCGGGAAACCAATGAGCGCACTGTCTCTTGGGAGTTGTGGTCCCTTCGGACTCACCGGCTTCTTGTTTGTGTCTTGTTCCCGTTTCTGGGCTCGGAGCCTCTCCGCTAATCTCTGGGCATTTACGGACGTAGAGGCAGCGGCAACGGAACAAAATGGCTTTGAGACGAGACTGAAGAGACTCCCCAAACCCTGGCCGTTTCCCCAGATCCAGAGGCCCGACACCCTCCACCTGGGCGCCGCCATCTTGCCAGGAAGGGAGGGGCGAGCCAAGACCACGTGGAGAAGGGCGGCAAGAGTGAGGCGGGAGTGGGTGGACCCCGTAGGTCACGTGGTGCGGGGTGGGGCCTGGACGAGTCACGGGGGTTAGGTGCGCGCTCAGTGCGGCTGCGCCGGCCGGTAGCTGCAGCTGGAGCAGTGGCGTTTGGAGGAGACTCGGTGAGTGTGTAGGGAAGCAGGGCTGGGGCTGGGAAATGCCGGTGCCTCAACGCTTTAACGTTTTCCGCGTCTCCGGGATTTCCGTTCAAGAAGAACACTGGTCCGAAAAACGTTTCTCCTTTTGGTACACGATCCCAGTGAGAAACTCCTCCCCGCCCCCGCGCCCCCTTAGAGGCGATGTCCCATAAACACTCGCCCCAGAGCCCTCCTAGGCACCTACGCCGTCCCTCTTAGCCACCGAATCTCCGGTGATCCGCCAGTCCCCTGCGGGACTCGTCGGGTACCCTCTTGATTGGATGTCCGGATCTCTGCAGCCTCTCCACCCGTCATCTTCCAACTCCCATCCTCTTTGTTTCACGTTGTAACCTGTCCCCCTCTCGTAAGGATGACGGCCCCTTCCCTTATCCAGGGCCCCCAGCCCCTACTTCCTACTTAGGAAGCACTGTGAGTGTTTTTTCTGTCCTTCCTCAAGAATTCATTGCTTGGAGTCTCCTCCCTACCTTCGCTACTCCTAAAGAAAAAGCTGAAAGTGCGGAGCACAGACCTTCACTTTTCCTGTTTCCTTTGTTTTTCCTCTCCTCCACAGTTTGCAACCGCACTAAACCCCCTCTCACGAGATGCGATGTTGAGATTCCCTTGCCCGAACTGCAAGTGACTCCCTCTGATTTCAATCAGGGGTGGCTGGGAAGATAAACATCTGCTTGGGATGGTAGTGTTAAAAGTAACTTAGGATGTTCCTGCCATTTGTTAAGAGGAAAACTTATGCTGAGTTCAGAAAGAATGTCCTGAAAACTAATGGATCTGTGAAGATAGGGGGAACAATTTTTTTAAGACTGCTTGGAATGAAGGCTGCCTGAGGAGTTATTAGAGTATAGGTAGTTGAATTAGATTTGGGTTCTACACCTCCTAAAGGGTTTGGCAGAAGGGAGCCGTACCAACAAGAAACAAAGTTGATCAGGTGGAGCTACTCATAGAAGACTCAAGTTGAAGAGTTTGAACTAGAGGTGACAAGTTGAAGAGTTGGAACTAGAGGTAATGGGGAGTCTTTGAAGCTTCTTGAGTAGGGCAGAGAGACTCCTTGAAAGTGAAATTCTGAAAGTGAATCTGGCAGTTGAATGCAGGACAGATGGGAAAGGAAAGGGTTTGATAGTAGGAAAACTAGTTACAACCTAGGTGGTCAGTGATGAGGTCTGGTCTTTTCCCCTACACTGTAACTGTCCTTTGAGTTTGAATTGATTATGAGTTACGCAGGTAAAGATGTACTCTTGGCAGCTGCTGTTGATCTGTGAGTCCCTGGAAGACTTTTTTTTTTTAAATCCTCTGACCTGGCACATAGTAAACTCACAATATCTGTTAGATGGCTGAAGTGCATCATAAATGTATGCTAGGTGTGTCTGAACATTTTGAATTGTCTTATTTCTGTCACTGGCCTGAAGAATGAACGTAGAGGCAGATGTATTTGTAAAGTTGGAAAGAAGCAAGCCTTGTGTACGTTTCTGTTATAAGGCAGGTGTAAATGCCGATTCAGATATAAATGCGAAGAATTCCAAGGGAGATTGAGAAACAACATCCATTTCTCCTGTTCCCCCCACCGCCCTGCACATTTACCAGTAGGACAGAGATCTATAAAAGTTGAGAAATTCCACCTTAAAAGAATTATTACCTTCCATGCTCCAGACCTAGGTTCTAATTTCACTAAACAGATGAACATCACGTATTACTTAGATACTTGAAGCTCCCTTTTCCAAGGACCCTGAAATTTTGACATCCGGAATTAAATTAATATCATTACATTAATTAGAAACTTGTTTTGGGTACAGGACTTTTATGGTTTTGTGTCCGGGATGGGAGAACCTGTTTCTACCCTAACTGTGTGGCATTCAAGAGACTACACCTGTTCTTGCAGAATTGGCCTTCTGTGGCAGGAAACAAAACGAAGAACCAACTCAAATGTCATTGCTAGTGACACAGAGCTTATGCTCTAGGATTTCAGGTTAACTCAAAGCACACACTTAGTGACGAAGAATAAAAGTGTTTGTTCTTTATTTCTGGAGAAGAAACTTTTAGGTTTGTCTTGTTGAAACTTTGTAGAGAAATTTAAAGAATTCAAAGTTTTTGTTTGGTATGACAGTACAGCTTTAGCCAGTATGGGTACGTCAGTTACGACATCCTTAATGTTTCTCCCAGTGAGTCTAGGCACTTGGTGATTTAGAGTTGTTCTCAGTATAATTTATGCAAATGTCATGTCTTTTTTTTTTTTTCTTCCTCAATTTTCAAAGAGCAATAATTGCCCCTCAGATAAACCTCATTGGCTGCGATACTGCCACTGCCAAAAACTCTTTTGTTTCTGGTTTTTGTTTTTGTTTTTTATAATCTCTGTATTGCCTCCTCCCTCTTCCTCATTCAGCTGGTCCTTTGTTAGGCCGTTCACTTTTCCATTTCTGCGTCAATGTCACAGTCCATTTGTTGGGAACTCCTCTTGTCTAAACTGTTTTCTTAAAACAAGGAAGGAAATTCTATTAGTGATTTCTTCATTCTTGGAGAGTACAGCTCTATTCAAACATGACTTATTTACATTGATTTTGATATATCATAATATGTGCCCCCCAAAATAACCATATGAAGAACTTGATAGTTTCTTTTTAAAGATATTTCCTAGTCTATTCCAGAACAAAAAGGCTGCATTAGTATTTCACAAGTATAAAGAAGGACTGACTAATAAAGGAACTTGCGTTTATCATAAATTTAAGGTTAATCAGTGGCATGAAGTTTAAGTTACGCCTCCTCAAACTGTGATTTGCTAGTTGCAGATTAACCAGCGATTCCATTTCCTTGAAAAGCAGGAAGTACTTGGACATTGTTTTATGGTTTTATAGAGATTAAAGGACGCAATTAGCAGGAACTCTCGGGAGGTGCCCTGGAAAGTGCAGTTATTGGGAGCCAGGAGATGTGGGACTAGTCCCAGTTCAGCCACTGCGAACTTGAACAAATAATTTGGGCTTCAGTTTTTTGGTCATTTAAAAGATCTTTGCAACTCTGTTTCTAGTCTGTGAAGATTTTCCACTGATACATAAGTACTTTCAGCCCGAATCAGTGGGATTTATTTCAGATTTATCTTGAATACATTTAGTATTGATACTAAGAAACCGAATTCTGCTCTTGTCCCCAGAATTTAACTTTTCACCACTGAGCTAATGTTTATATTTGGAGGTTACTTCATTGAGTGGTGTTGGAATATACTTTAAGATTTCCGGCCGGGCGCGGTGGCTCACGCCTGTAATCCTAGCACTTTGGGAGGCCGAGGTGGGCGGATCACGAGGTCAGGAGATCAAGACCATCCTGGCTAACACGGTGAAACCCTGTCTCTACTAAAAATACAAATAGACGGGGATGGTGGTGGGCGCCTGTAGTCCTAGCTACTTGGGAGGCTGAGGCAGGAGAATGACGTGAACCCGAGAGGCAGAGGTTGCAGTGAGCCGAGGTCGTGCCACTGCATTCCAGCCTGGGTGAAAGTGTGAGACTCCGACTCAAAAAAAAAGAAAAAAAAAGATTTGTTCAATGGGGGCGGGGTGTGTGGCTCACACCTTAATCCCAGCACTTTGGGAGGCCTAGCGGGGAGGATCTTTTGAGCCTAGGAGTTTGAGATCGCCTGGGCAACATAGCAAGACCTCCTCTCTACAGAAAATCACAAAATTAGCTGGGCATGGTGACGGCACCTGTGGTCCTAACTACCCTTGAGGCTAAGGTGGGAGGATCACTTAAGCCCAGGAAGTCAAGGCTGCAGCTTCAGTGAACCGTGATTGCAGTACTACACTCCAGCCTGGGTGACAGAGACAGACCTGTCTCAAAGAAAGAGAAAAAGTAATTTGTGTAATATGGTTTAAAAGTCAAATAGTAATAAAAGATTTATATTTAAAAAACAGTTTCTCAGGCTGGGTGCACCTGTAATCCCAGCACTTTGGGAGGCTGAGGTTGGTGGATTGCCTGAGGTCAGGAGTTCGAGACCAGCCTGGCCAACATGGTGAAACCCAATCTCTACTAAAAATACTAAAATTAGCTGAGCGTGGTGGCGTGTGCTTGTAATCCCAGCTACTTGGGAGGCTGAGGTAGGAGAATTGCTTGAACTGGAGAGATGGAGTGAGCCAAGGTTGCACCATTGCACTCCAGCCTGGGCAACAGAGCGAGACTCCGTCACCAAAAAAAAAAAAAAACCAACAAAACAAAAACCGTTTCTCTGCCCTCCCTACCTCATAGTTCCATTCTTTAGAGGCAACCACTCAGTTGTTTTCCTCTTTTCCTCTGTCTTTACAGTAAGTTATCAACATCATCAGTATTCTTGAAACACCACATAACAAAACCAGTTTTACCATATGGTTTCTATGGCGTTTTTCTGGTCACAAAAACATACCCAACTTCTAAATAAAAACCAAAGCATTTCTAGTAGGAAACACTGAAACAAGGAAGATTTTCACCCACTTTTTGGTGAGTCAGTGACTTACTGCAATCATAGTGGTGGTGGGTTAAATCGAGGAATAAATGTGTGCAAAGTGAAAATTGTCAGAAGCATTTCCTACCACCATGCTCAGTTCCAAAACAATCCATCACCAATAGGGCAGGCCCACTGAGAGCTTTTGTGCCACATCGGTTATTGTTATGCATTTGGATGATTACCATAAACTTTGCAGATTTTTATTTGCCGGTAATTTGTATTCATTCATGCGTTTTCCAGCTCAGGCTCACAGGTGACTGGAGCCTATACCGGCAGCTCAGGGCACAAGGCAGGAGCCAGCCCTGGACAGGACGCCATCTATCCTATAGGGTGCGCATGTACACACACACACACACACACACACACACACACACACACACACAGGGACCATGTAGACACACCAGTTAACCTAGTAGGCACATCTTCGAGACGTGGGAGGAAAGCAGAATACCTGAAGAAAACCCACACAGACATGGGGAGAACGTGCCAGCCCCACACAGATGGGTGACCT